ATATGGAAGCTAAGTTTTGTAAAATCATCGATAATTCTCAAAGAGAAACATATAATACAAATTGACATTCTTTGATTTTGTAAATGGATTACTTAGAAATTTGAATTTCTAACACCGAGTTCACATGCAAGGTTGCAGATTTTTTTCTTTTTTCAGTAACATTAGTTGATGATTTTTTGGAAATATGGTGCAACGTGAATAAATGGACATAACAAAATATATTAGAAAGGTAGAAATCTGCATAATATAAAGACTATCAGAATGTTATAAACATATATTTTATTTTTAGATTTATCATCAAGTAATTGTGCATTTTGGTAAGAAGTTTCATGCGACATATATGTGGTTATCTCTTGTATTTTTTATTTTTTTAAAATCTTTTTCCAGTGTGGCTGAGATATATCTTCCTTCAAGATACTTCAATAGGAACTTCATACAACTAGAGTGGCTTCCAAATTGTTACCTTTTCAAAATATGAAGATGGGCTTGGAATAAGATGAGAAACGATGTCTACTCATGGATCATTAGTACGAGATTGGAAAATTCAAATCATATATGTCAAATGGGGGACCTATTAAAGTAGGGATGACTTATAGTTTGACTTTTTTCTGAGCTACAATCAAATTGGAATTAGAGACTACTTCCAACTATGTCTAAAGAGCAAGTTACCCTGCAAGTCGAGCTTGATTCGCTTGTTCTCACTAATGAATATGAATATTTTTCTTCAAAATCACTAGTACTACTCGATCAGTTTACTCCACATGTGAAGTTATCATCGTTCGAAAGTTAAAAAATGCAACAAAAAAAATTGGTTCCATTGGGTATCCTAAAACATAAAATGTTGGTATATGGATATTTACACTCAACATATGCCACAAAGGATCGATTCATCATGTGGGAACTTCCCTACCCTCTATGATTCCTCTATAAAATGGAGACCTTCTTCTAAGATTAAAACCCAATGGAGGATTGGATATTACTGAGATGATTTCAAGATTAACTAGCGCATGTATCAACATTATTATGATCCTCTAACTTTCTCTAGGTACTTTGAATGTGACGATGCTCACAATGTTATCTTTTAGGATTTCTGCTAGATTTCACTTTCTTCAAAATGTTGTAGTTCACTCCTCATAGGATATTCTCCTTGTGATTTCTCATATTTTTGAAGCTTTGGTTCTTCTATATTATGTAATGGTAAAACTAGCTAGGTCTTGTAATATCTATAGTTTCTTTTTCTTCTCTTGCTGTTAATAGTTATTTTATAAAAAAATAATAATATTTTCACAGCATGGCGAAACATCCAAATTAGGTCTTGATTGGTATAGTTTTTTTATG